CATCACTAAAATGTTGGTGGAGATATGTAGACGACACACTAGTAATAGTGAAAAAGAACGATATTGAGAAACTCTTCTCACACATAAACAGCCATGTCGACTCAATAAAATTCACTATGGCAGTAGAGAGTGAAATTGGGAACTACCTATGTTAGACTGCAAAATACAAAAGAATAACAGATGGTAGCATTAAAACGACGCTATATAGAAAAACCACACACTCTGGAAGATTCCATGATTATCACTCAGCTCATCCACTCACGGTAAAACGAGGATTAATACAAGGTCTTGCAGATAGAATAACTAGACTTACAACAACGCCAGATGACCAGTGTAAAGAAATAAACGTCCTATTCAAAATGCTACTCGAAAATAACAACCCTAAAGAATTTATAAAAGATAATATAAAAAAGAGAAAAAAGAGGGTGAAAACGGAGAATAACAAGATGGAAGAATTCAAAAAAAAAACAGTTACAATACCATATAAAAATGGTACATCAGAGGAAATTCAAAGAAACCTCAAAAATATCGGCATTCGGACAACTTTTAAACCGGCAAATCTAATCAAAAATAAAATAAATCAACTGAAAAATCCCATAAAAATGATGGATAAAAACAACTTGATTTACAAAATATCTTGTGCTGACTGTCCAACTAAATATGTGGGGCAAACGTCCAGATCACTCAAAATAAGAGTGAATGAACATAAACGCCTAACCAAAGGTCAACTAACAGGAACACAAGCCTACAAAAATCTTGAAAAAAATTCATCGATAGCTGCACATGCATGGGGAAAAAAACCACAATATCGATTGGAACAATGTGTGTATTCTAAAAACTAATATGAACAAATGGAAAGAAAGGCTTATAACAGAATCGATATTCAATAAAGTCACACCGGGTACATGTAACAAGGATGACTCAGTACAACTATTAACAATATATATATATATATATCCTTTATTTGATCTAATCCACAATGCTAAAACTTTTTACTGATATTAAGTGAGAATCATTTAAGAGCTCATTAAAAGTTGATACTGCTTTGGAGACATCAAGCCTTTTAGGTCTGTCTACATAAAATGCCAGATGGCCGACCTTTACAACTGACTTAACAGAATATTGCGGATTAAGTAGAATATTCCGCCAAACAGACGCAAAATTCAAATTCGAAATTTAGACACATTTTGAGAAGAGGAATCAGCACAGTTTCCTTTAGAGACCGAGATTACTCACACAGTGCGTGGGATCCGATACACAACGTAAATGTTAACCGAGAAAGAAAACGTCAATTTGTGATGGTTTACACTTCTGAATGATTCACAAATAGTAAGTGGATAGCAGTCGCATCGGTCAGTGAGTAATCTGAGAATTTCATCTAATGCATTACCGCTTCTCTGAAGTAGCTAACTAGATTTCGAGTAGTTTGAAATGATTAATCTTTCTTAGCTGAATTAAACTGAATACACCTCGGATGAGCTCAGCTCGAAACGACCGTCTGGTGTTAGGTCACCTAGATCTGGACAGCAAGTACTACCGGTTGATGTACGAGTCGCATCCAACTACGCATATCAACCGATCAGTAATATATACAATCTCGCACTTATCATTATTTCCTTTAATTCCTAGAGGAACATAGTGATTCAGCCGTGCGTCTCCATTGCGTTCGGTTCTCTGCTAGAGTCTTCACCTGACTCCAAGTCTGCCCACACGTTTTCATCTCCTCTTCACATGACCTCCTCCAAGTCACTCTCACACTGACGACCGACTCGCTGCTTCCCTTTCGGGTTCCACTCGAGCAATGGCTTGTCTAGTGATGTTACTTGATGGTTTGTTTTCTCAGAGTATGGCCAGTCCATATCCATTTCTTCCTGCCTATTTGTCGCACAATCGGTTCCTGCTGGGTTGGTTGGCTCCCAGAGGTCTCCGTTGCTGATGTTTTCTGGCCATCTGATCTTCAGTGGTATTGAGCGAAGACAACTAGCTGTTGATGAAGGTCTGTAGTTCGTTTGAGAAGCTCTTTATGACGCGCAACGCAAGTCTCTGATCCGTATGTTGAGTAGCACTGACTTCACATTGGAGTTGAAAATCCGGATCTTATTTCCATTTTCATGCTGAGTGCTGTTGACATCCACACTGACTTTAGAGTAGTGAAAGCTTGTCTTGCTTTTCCGATCCTTGCTTTGATATCCTCATCTCGCACTCATACTTGCTTTTTCGAGAAGACAAATCCAACTGACGAATGATGAGATTATTATGTGAGCATTGGGTAGATGAAACAATTCACGGAATTAGTCTTATGAGTTATATTTATTAGGTCCTTTAGCTAACACTGTTCAGCATGTTATATACTCCTAATTATACCTTATAAGATTCATTTGACCTTACTGCAACTAATGAAACTAGTTATTCAGTAGTGCTTATATACATATAATGTATATTTTGTGTAATAAAAATCACTTATTCCCATGGGCCTGGACTAGTCTTCTCTTCGGGCCTTTCTGCGAACTCAGGGCAGCAGAAGGTAGTTCAAGCAGTACAGAACAAAACACTGGTGTATTCAATATTCAGTTGATTTCACCTACTGTCTATGAAACTCAGTATCGATCCCAAATTACTGTTTAAGGTCTATTGGTAAAGACAGAATTTAATTAAATCCCTTGCCACTTGCATCCAACGCATTTGTAGTTCCGACGGTCTAGAAACAGAATTAGATCTTTTGGAAGAAATCTTCATCCAAAATGGATACCAACCAAGATTTCTAGACAAGAATATCAAACCAGAAGTTTGGAGAAATGAAAATTCACTTGCACCGAAAAAGAAACTCTACTACATGAACTTGAATTTCAAGGGAGATTTAGGAAGCGATAATCTCAAGAGAAGGATCGCATCATCTCTGAGAGGAACATTTTTTTTGCAGCAACACCAAGAATAGTGTTCTCCAGTCGCTCGCTGATCTGCAAAAGCCTCAAGGACAAGGTCCCGCATCTGACCACTTCTATGTGCATATATCAGTTCACCTGCTGCTGTGGAGCCAGTCAGGTACATCAGTCATTCGACGCGCACTTTGTCCAGCATGGTTGCGAAAAGGCAATACTGGTGCAATAAGGAGTGCGATAATTGAACACCTGTTTAACACTGATCATTCCATTTCAACAAACGCCCTCTGCTTCAAAGTAATTAATCTACAGAGTCAAGAATAACCTACCAAAGGCAACATGGTTTCGTCTTCTTTGTATCTCTGAAGCTCTGACCATTCACACAGAAAAACGGAAGCTGTGCATACATAAGAGAATCATTCGACCACTTCTACTACCATGGTAACAACTTTTCTGGTTTTTGATGACTTAATTCTGTTTCTTTGTTCCCTTGTTTCTTAAATTGCTTATAATTCTTGTATTCATTTAGAACTCTTACGTAACTTCGTATACTCTACTTTGCTTCTATGTGCACCCTGAGAACAACTCAATCATCAAAATATTCATATTATTACATAACTTCTTTTTAACAACTGTTTGTGATAACTCACCAATTTTGTTGCTACCCTAGTTTCATTGACACCCAATTATCTTGACCGTTTCTGTATTACATAACTCCACCCAAACCCTACTAATTCTCACCTGTTTAGTTAGAATAACCATAACCAACAATTGTATTTTGTTTGACAAAATTGATGCATACATGGTAATTAGATCCCAGTGGCTGAGTAGTATACGAGCCTAGCTAGCCTTGTAACTGGAAGGTCCTGGGTTCGCGAACCTCAGTGAGTGCGTATTGCCGATGATTCCCAAACTAGGCTGATGAAACAGCAGCTGTCCAGTACTCCCTGGTTTTCAATGGTTCTCTAACTAATTTCAGTCCGTGGTCTAACCCGAAAAGCAAATCAAACTTGGGCACTGTGGTAGAGTATAACTCAATTTGCAATTAAAAGTGTTCTCTGAGCTGGTTGGTTTAGTTGCGGAGCTTTCGTCGTCCTTCTGGACAACATCTTCAGCGCCATATTTAGCACAAAGTGAAATGATTTAAATTTCTTCATGCGTGATGTAATTGCGTCTCCTGGTTACTATCTTTACATATGTATTGACCATTTTCTATTGACTTGGATTTTAAACTTTTTGGTCACCTGATTTACTTTTTATTAGTTGGTATATTTCGTATATATTAACGTGTTTGTTAATTGCATTTTCGTTTGAGTACCAGGCTTCTAGGAATTCCTCGGCACTTTTCATGTTTCCTCTGTGTAAGATTTTGACATGATCCCAATCAAATTGATATAGATATAGCACACAAACCAGTAAAATCGCTTAATTCGATATTATGCAAACCAAAAGATCCAACAGAAAAAGGGGATAAAATTAATACCATTTACAAAATAAATTGTATGAACTGCAACAAACATTACATCGGCCAAAGTGGGCGTCCCCTTCGAATCAGAATACAAGAACATAAATCAGCCGTGAAAAGACATGATATGTATTCTTTAGTATCAATGCATACAGACAATTATGGTCATCAATTTGATTGGGATAATGTCAAAATCTTAAACAGAGGAAACACTAAAAGTGCCTAGGAATTCCTAGAAGCCTGGTACTCAAACGAAAATGCAATTAACAAACACGTTAATATATACGAAATATACCAACTAATAAAAAGTAAATCAGGTGACCAAAAAGTTTAAAATCCAAGTCAATAGAAAATGGTCAATACATATGTAAAGATAGTTACCAGGAGACGCAATTATATCACTCATGAAGAAATTTAAATCATTTCATTTTGTGCTAAATATGGCGCTGAAAAGGGATGTTGTCCAGCAGGGGGACGACGAAAGCTTCGCAACTAAACCAATCAGCTCAGAGAACACTTTTAATTGCAAATCATCCACCTGAGCTACAAATCTTCTCTAGTATAACTCAATTATAATGGAGTTACAAATCCTTACAAATCAACTACTGAGAAATTAACCTATAAATACATATATATATCGGTTAAAACCAAAAGTATTTTTTACCCAATGCAGATATATGTTCCTTAAAAAAAATTCCTTTTGTCCATAAACCAAAAAAGCATACAAGATGCATGCGTAGGCATACAGAAATCCAAAGAGATAAAGAAATAAAGAAGGAAAAGAAGAAGCTTGGAATTGTAGACTATACTGTTCCGTTGGAAAGAATTAACCAAGTGGAACAAGAGGACACTTTTGAACAACTTCAAACAAACAAAAGTGGAAAGTTGTCAAAGGCATAGGAGATGAGCAAAAAAAAGAGAAAACATAATAAATAAGAAAGAAAGGAAGGAATATAGTAGTAAACCCACACCATATACACACACGAAGGTTATACTGAATTCAATTGTAAAAATAAGCATAATGTAATCAGTTTATATAGGCACCAGAAAAATAGACATGCGTCTTGTTTGTTTGCAATTGCAAACTGCACACACTGCAACAATATTGGCATATAGTGAGAAGAGCATTTTAAGATTTCTCTAGCTCAGCGGCCAACTCTTCAGTCTTTTCTCTGCATTCACTGAAATAGTTTCTCTGTGCAGCTATCAGCTCTTTTATTGCCACCAAATTGGACTGCTGTGAACAAAACCGATAGATTAAGTTGAAAAAAAAGAGTTAACATGGAGTAAGAAGCAAATTAATATCTTAGAATCTTACCTTAAAAAAATCACCCTTAAGGATTTCGATAGAAGAAAATCCTCTCTTTCTGTGACAATTTCATCTTCTATAGTTTGGTTTGTAAGGATTAGTTATGTTTTACGAGTTGATAACGGACTGATATCAGTTAGAGAACCATTGAAAACCAGGGAGTACTGGACAGCTGCTGTTTCATCAGCATAGTTTGGGAATCATCGGCAGTACGCACCCACTACACGGGTTCGAACCCAGGACCTTCCGGTTACAAGCCAGCAAGCTCGTATACCATTCAGCCACTGGGACCCGATTCAATGGCTCATGAATTTTAACTTCTATCAATTCGTGAGTTTAGCGCGACCCCAACCATTGTCGTTGGTGGGACATCCATCCACACACGTGACATCTAATTGGACCTCACTGGTCACAACTTCTCAATAGAACTTCAAGAAGCTCCAACCTGTAGCAAGTCACTAGCGAGCATCAGATTAATTTTCTATCGTTTGGTTTTTAAGGATAAGTTTCATTTTCGTAGCTTAACAAAACTGTATTTCAATATATAGAAAAAAAATCCCCATTTAGACATTTTTAGAAAACAGAAAGATTGAGTGAAGAAATATTTACTCTTTTCAATTAGATCCTCATCTCACTCTGGCTCTACTCTAATATATTCTGATTAGTAGTTTTATTACAATACACAGCAGTTTACCAAACAAGTGGCACTGATATGTTTGTTAACAATAATTAAACAGTGTTATCTTTGATTACGTATTATCCTTGTAAAATTAATTTATTCTAACCACTTCTACCTTTTAATTGTGTGTATTTATTTTCTTCGTTAATTATCACCCCATTGACATTTTGACACTGACTAATTATTGTTAACAAACATATCAGTGCTACTTGATTGGTAAATTGTTGTGTATTGTAATAAAAATGCTATACAGAATATCTTAGAGTAGAGCCAGAGATGAGGATCTTATTGGAAAGTAAATACTTCTTCGCCCAATCTTTCTGTTTTCTAAAACTGGATTTATGTATTTATAGATTATAATAGACAACAACGAGTAGTTTTGTTTTTTGTGTCTGTATATGTTCTGTTTGGGTCCTTGTGGCTGATTGTGTGAGTCGGTGGCACAGCAGTAGAGTGCTCACCGACCACGTAGGTGGTTCGGGATTGGATCCCCGGCCACCGATGCACTCCTTTATCTCGCTAAACAGGCAGTAAAACTGGTAAAGAGGGAAGGTTGGACATGAGGTGGCAAGCAACCCCATCCCGTAAAAATAATCGCCATTGCTACAGAAACTTCAAGCTTCTAGCTTGAAGCCCTATGTTCCACTGGGAACATAAAGGAATGAAAAAAATATATATTCTGTTTAAGAGTTGAATCTATGTGGATCTGCTGTTTCACATGCTCCTGTGGAGTTGATTACTTAGAAAGTTCCACATAATACACAGTACCAATGCGTATTATATACAGTAAGCTTATCCAATGTGGTATTCTATTCGATTACCACGGTGCTTTTTATTCCTTTACATTCCCAGGTTTCAAGCTACAGCTTTGATGTTTCGGTAGCAGTGGTGTTTATTTTTACGAGGTGGGGACGCTAGCCTCATGCTCAACCCTCCCTCTTTGCCAGCCTTACTACTGGCTTAGCGAGGTGAAGGAGTGCGTCGGTGGCCGGAGATCGAACCCCGAACCACGTGAGTGGTTGGCGAGCATTCTACCGCTGTGTCCCCAACACACAGCATAGTCTGGTTTAGAACTTCTGATTGAGTCGCCACGTTAGGTTGTGCTCGAGTCGTAGCCTAATGATATATACGCATATACAGATATTCGATTACACAGAGTCTGAATTCTACTCCTACATTACATTGGACATTGTAAGCCTATGTTCTGCAGAAATGCATAGCTCAATCCTATCCAGTTTATTTGATGAAAAGCAGATACACACAATGACGAAGTCTTCTTGAATCAGGTCAATTAGCCTCTTGTGATATACCCTTTAGAGTTTTTTGTATAGGGCTAAATCAATCACTCCAAATAATTACCTTATCTCCACTTCATGTGTAGCCGAAGCTATACCTATGCATGAATAATTACCTAAATTATGTATTCAAAAGCTATTATGCTAAAGCCCTTTTGTGTTTGCTATGGTCACAGTAATGTTCTATTCTGTTTTACCACTTTGCTTGCTTTAATGTTATCCTTACCATTGCAATTTTTGTTTATTTTTTGGAAACACTTGACCTACTTTCTAAAATCCCAATATCGATCTCCCTTATTTAATAATAATCTGTAAACTTTTGTAATTCATCCACTTTAACGCTAACCTCTTAAAAAGCCTGTTGATTATCTTCATTCTTGTCATATATATGTATACTGAGTGAGCAAAGTTTTAGTGTCAGTTAATATCTGTCCTCCAAAGTATGCATACGAATGTACGGCTGGTTGTAAATATAAAGTCATTGCAGAGAAATTCTCTCTCTTCAATCTGAAAAATTTCTGTGTGATTTTCAGTATTAAGAGTGGTCTATTGGTGGACAGATTTGCAACTAAAGTTTCGTACTTTGTTCGTACTCATCAGTAAAACGTTTGTGCAATACGTTTCAATACTAGTCACCATGTTGACTTGAGAGATTTGAATGAAGAATCTTACTGGGACGAATCATTCCAGTCTACGCTGACTTCTATTGTTCCGGTAATCCGACTGCACTTGATCTACTGGTCTAATCTATGTGGTCGACCTAGAAGTCATTACATGGCAATTAGTAAATTATATTATTATTCTTAATTGGATCTGTTGGGTCTTTAGTCTATGAATTACAAATTAGGAAGGGTGTACTGGGAAACGCTGTAACTTTCCGTCTGCTTTGGTGATATTCACGTCGGTGGTAATGAGAGTAGTTATGTAAATCGCCCCTCCCCCACTACCTGCAGATGTCTAAGGTGAAATCGATGGGTGAATATTCGCTTTCAAGAGCTACCAATGTAAAATGGGCATTTCGCTCATAAAAAAATACAATCAGTCAACAAGGAATTGAAAATTAACATATAAGAGCAAATAGTGACTGATACCCTGTTACCCAACAGGTGACTGTCGCAGCTTACTGGCCAAATGGGAGCGTTTTAAACGGTAACTGCAGAGGTTTCGAGTCTCAGGCAGGTACGTTGGTGTATGACGAGTCCCAAATGGAACTAAATGCGGATCGTGGAGTTCATTGCTAACAGTCATTATGAACCAAAATATACACACATGTTGTACACGTGTGCTTTAAACTGACTTATAATTTCACGCTTACACTATTAGATAATAGCCAGCTGCCGTGCAAGATACATTCCTAATAGCATATAATATAAGATATATTCCCTAACCTCCTGGCTCAGAATAGGATCAACAATTACAATAAAATGACATTCATTTGATAACTTACATTCACTGTCTTTATTCTCTCTAATTTAGCTCTTGTCACTTCCAGCTGTTTGTCAAGAACACCTTTAGCTTTCTCCATGTTTGCCAGAGTCTGTTTGTTTAAATACACAAATAAATAGTGCACATTAATAACATGGGATAGAGGAAATATGTGTACACATATGATAATTTGATAAGTGGTGTTGGTTGTAACACAAGCACACACACACAAAATAATTTTCTAATGCATTTAGTCACTTAAATCTTGCAGAGAAGTCATTTATCCCGAAACAGATTTTTTGTGTATCAGGCTAACAACCATATTTATTGTGTGTGTGTGGGTGTGTTATTTAAGTAGGTGGAGCGGGACTCGAATTACATATTGGCTAAAAACCCCATGAAACACATCCGTTCACATTTGGCAAATATTTGTACAGTTTTGAATGGTAAAAGTGCCTGGTCTCTTTTAGCACACATACTTCGCCGATTCCTTGAAGTAAACATGATGTTATTGGGTCTATGCTGATTAACACACTGAAGTCTAGCACCTGAGTTTTATGCTATTTGAGACCACAGATGAGTACTGTTGACATTCAGCGCAGAGTTTAAGGTGAAGGAGAGTAGTCAATTGATGAAGTTGTGTTCCTGAAAACCTTTTGAATTTCCAGTGGCGATAGTGTATTCGTTTATCTTTGCGAGTTTGCAATTGCTGGCCTTACGCCCAGACGTCCATTTTATTTGGGCTTTTTGTCGATGACTAGTTAATTAGGCGAGGTTTAGCAGTGTGTCTGATGGTGGTCAAAGCTTGATATCTGCGTGGGGGCTGAAAAACATTCTACCACTAGACCACTGACTCATCGACCCTACTGTTAAGAAAGTGAAGTAAATGTGGTACAAAAAGAAGAAAACTAATCCTACTCTGCTTGTCACGTGGAAATATTGGAAATTCATCCAGTCACATTTTATTTTTAAAAATTGAACTACTTACTAAAATACTAAGTAGTATAAATTGGTCAGTAGAATTTTCAGGTGACAGGAGAATAGGTAAGCTCCTAAAACAAATGCCAATTGAAGTCAATAAAATCTCCCTATGAATAGAACAGTGATGAATATAAATCCACGGTACGATTGGCGAACAGCTTTTAGAGGGGCATCTTTAATTCCAAATAAGAAGTTATGAAGGATGTGATCTACTGAAATTAGTGGAAGGAGAGTTAATCACTAATGTCACCATTTCTAGTGATGTATGGTGACAGTGCTGGGATTTTGCAAATTGACAGAGGTGAGCATTTATTATCATTATTCCCTTGGGTTCCGAGTGGAACACAGTAGCGCATCACCATCTTATTCTGTTTTATGTAATACTTTCTATCAAGTCAACGACAGGTAGCTGTTGATGAAAGTGTGCATTTGGAGATGCTTGACAATAGTACGGAAAATTAGTATTTTGTTTCTTATGCTGTTTGCAGTAGATTTTCAAGCTGATTCCGGAATAATGATGGTCTGTTTTGTTTTCCCGACACTGCCTTTGACGTCATCAGCCTGTAGTTTAAACGACGCTAATCAGACTGAGTAAGTGAAGGAGACGACGCCCTCACGATGCCTCCCACTGATGGTGATTGGTGCATGTTGTTGTTTTATTTTGGGTCATCGTGTATCTTCACCATCTTTGTTTTTCACACATTCATCTGAAGTCTTTACTTCTCTGCCTCTTCTACCAACTTGGCGGTTTCCAACTGTAGATCTTCCCAATTTATGAGACTTGAAACACATCTGGGAAGTCCATATCTTTAAGGTTCTTCTATCAGTTCTACGCATGTCCTCCACCTTACTTCCGACGATCTACCATATGATCCAGTTCACTACAATCAGGAATACCGTCGGTGATAATGGACAGCCTTGTTTTACTCCTGTCTTCACTCCAGACGCACCCTTAAGCTTTCCTTTGTGAATCACTTGGCATGTGGCGTTATCAGATAGCTGTTAGATTATTTTTTTAAATGAAGCTTTGAAGCGCTCCGTAGTGTTGAAAGATTTCAAAGTATCTATTGAAACCCTTATTACTTGTTGCTGAATTCAAATCTCTCTAGGGACATACGATCACTCACTCAGTGTTTGTGTGTGTGTATGTTGCAGTTACTTCGTTTAACAAATGTAACTTAAGTGAGACGAAACGCGCATACTGGATTCCACTGTCAATAGACACCACTCATTAACTAAACAGCATCACTGTTAACCTAAAAGTATCGTCAAACCATTGGTAATCGGGGCAGGGAACATGTGCAGGTGAATATAAAACTTGGGCACTGTGGTAGAGCATAACTCCATTATGGGTAAGATTTTATTTTCATAAATCACACAGTGTTGTACAGTAAGTAATATTAACTGATGACCACGTTTCGAGAACAAACTATTGCTCATAATCATATCAAGTCACTCACTCACACAACTTTTTTCCTTCATTTATATAAATGAGTGGAATTGATGATTAAATATTTGAATAAAAATGAATATAGGATAATGTACATTCAGAAATAACTATATGAGTGTTATTGATCAATTACAATCAGATGGGAAATGAGACGAATGTTTTTATAGTCAAAATAAGTAAGTCACTTGTTAGAATGTTGCGATGTGCTTGAATTGAAATAGAATTTTAAGATTATTTTATTATCCTCTTCTGATTGGACTGGTGGTAATAATATCTTCCATACATATCTGTGGTATTTGCATTGAGTCATTTCTGTTGCATGTGTTGGGTGTAGACTACTCGATGAAACAGGCCGGATTCAGTAATCAGTCTCTCTGGGAGATGGTTGAAATTCTAAGAAGTAATATAGGTAGCTGGAGAGAGATTGATTACTGAATCCTGCTTGGTTCATCGAGTAGTCTACACCCAACACATGCAACAGAAGTGACTCAAAGCAAATACCAGATATATGGAAGATATTATTACCACCAGTCAGTCAGTCAAATCAGAAGAGGATAATAAGTAATCTTAAAATTATATTTCAATTCAAGCATATCACAACATTCTAAGAAGTTACTTATTATGACTATAAAAACACTCGTCTTATTTCCCATATGATTGTATTTGATGAATAACACTCAAATTATTATTATTTCTGAATGTACAAAATCCCATATTGATTTCTATTCAAATGTCTAATCATCAGTTCCACTGATGTATATAAATGAAGCAAGAAAGTTTATGTGAGTGACTTGATATGATTATGAGTGGCAATAATTTGTGCTCGAAACGTGTGGTCATCAGTTAATATTACTGTACAACCAACACTGTGTGATTTATGAAAACAAAATCTTATCCATAATGGAGTTATGCACAGGTGAACACTAACAAGATAGTTTCGACCCAGTAAAATCAATCAGTTCACGGGGGATCTCAAAAGAATGATGATTTCAGTAAACAACAATAATAGTAATAATAATGACAGCAGCTGCAGCAGCCATAGCAACAACAGCTGATATCTCTTGTGTAACAGGTGGTTCTTGTCCCCCAGTAACTCTGTGACTGGTCTAGTGGATACCGTTTTGAAACTATGGGTTTCATAAAAAAACACAAAAGCATCTGGAGTAAAGAATTCAACACACACACACACACACACACACACGGAATACTAGTTTACACAAATGCGTCTAGTGTATAAACACTGAGTGAAGCGAATGACTATTTTTTTTCTCAGTAGACTGCTAAATCAATAAGTGTAGTGTTCACCTTGACCTCGGACTATAAATAAAGAAAAAGGTGTGGAACCTAGACTATGCATTGAATAACTTACAGGTATGATATCACACACACTACTGATCGACTGATGTGAGCACCCATGTTAAGGGTGCTTTCCAACTAAAGGAAACAATAATATTTATAATATATTCCGTCGTCCTTTATGGCTGTGAGACCTGGCCATTGAGAGTGGAAGATGTGTCTGCGTTCTATCTCCCGTGTGAAGTGGTATAATAAGGTGAGCAATATTGAGGTAAGGCATCGGTCGAATGCTAGGTAAGGAGGGGAAATCAATCGACGAGGCTGTGAAATTACATCGACTGAGATGGTTAGGACATGTGTTACGTATGCCTAGCAATTCATCGCCTTCCTCGACGGGCAATGTTAGTCAGCTGACATAGGGTCAGGCTGGAAAAGAGCTAGCGGCGGTCAAACCAAAACATGGTACCAGTCAACGAAATCTACAACAGTTAGTCTAAGCCATCCACGTAGTAAGGTGTAGACAGGCTTCCTGGTTGAGGTCCTCGAGACGGTAAAAACCAGTAGTTGGAAACAATTGGTGACATGGCTCAAAGTGATCGTCCTCAATGGCTGGCGCAGATGCATCCACTCCTTGTGACTTATGATTTCCAATGAAGCTGTTTTGTTCTTCGTTATTACTATTCCTTTGTGTCACACCAATGTTTACTGTCTATATTATGCATTTCTCCTACTTTCTTCTCTTGCTTTGTGTGCTACAAAGAGGGAGTGTGGCAACTTGAAATGCCTCACATATGTGCAAAGTTCTATGTCGAAAACAGACAGACGACTGGATTAAAACAGTACCAAGTGTGCCTTAGACAAGTCTAAGTTTTGGTGTTAACTGGCCCTCATCAGTCAGTAAAGGAGCTAATTGATATCCTCCACAATGACTGTAACCCGTATATTGAACATTCGCTTAAAGTTAGTGGGTTTGTGTCAAAAAATTTACTAAAATAAAACACAATTTTCTTAATTTAATTCTCAGATATTGTAGTGTAGGCTTCTGCACGTGAAATAACAATCTACTGATATCGACTAGGTGTGTGTGGGTGTGTATCACATCTCCTATTGCTGTTAATGTCTACACAGAGATAAATTAGTGCATACTTTAGAAACAAAGTGAGAGAGAGGGAATATGATTAGCCAAATGCATTCCGTGTGTGCATGATGAGTGCCTGCAGAGATTACCTCTTCTGAGAGGTGACAATTAATTCACTGAGAGCTATTCAATCACACACACAAACACACAGGCAGACTTGAAAATATACACAAATGCCTGATAGTAATTTTGATGAAATGTGCAGCTCTATCTTTTTGCCATTCAGAATACAAAGATGGAATGAACA